TTTGTTTGGAGCTACAATAAGTGGGGATACGTTATTTCTGGACCTCTTGTGGTTGGTGTTGGTACTGGTTGTAACTTTGGCGGTTGTAATATTAGGAGTGGTTGTTAGGTTTAACATAGAGGTAATTTGTTTGGTAGGCATACTTGGCCTGGGCGGGTTGGATGCAGTGGCGTTGCTAGTGGTTGTATTACTAGTTGAAGGTGTGATAGTTGTGGCTATAGTGGAGGAGTTTGTGTTTGACTTGACTGTGTTGTTAGCATTTTTGTTTGTATCTGGTGTAATATTGGTAGGAGGCCTTGGTAGGTCTATAGGAATAGGTACAGAGGTGTTGCTAATTGTGTGTTGTATAACATCTTCCATGTTGCTTTTATTGGATTCATTGTTAGATTCTATTTGTCCTATAGTGTTATACGAAATTCTGAGCAGGTCTGCAGTACCTTTTGCCTTGGTGTAAGGTTTCATATTGCTTTCGTAGGCGTTGGTAATTGTATTGAGGTTACAATTGCGAGTAGATTTAGGAAGTTTGGTGCTAATGTTGACGATATTGTTTTTTGAGGTAGTGAGATCGAATAGAACTGATTGGGAGGGATTGTTGTGTTTACAGATCTATTGGGATGGATAATTGACCAGGTTTGGGATCCTGCCAGATTTGGTAATGTTGATATAGAAAATGAAGTCATTGACGTACTCTGGGATAGAGAAGCTGACAACAAAGATAAGTTTGGACCAATCTTTGATAGTAATTTTGATAAAATTTTTTGTGTGTTCGACTTCTGAAGTTTGTGGCTAGGAGATAGTGGCAGTGGCCTCTTGTTGTACGGCTTTGCGAGATGTAGAAAAATAACTGAAGATGCCAAAGGAGCTTTCTGAGGTCATATTTTTAGGGGCAAGTTGAGGCTTGGTAATGGGAGTTGTTTGAAGTTTTTTGTTGTTTTGGTATAGCGGACTGTTAGTACTTTGCAGTGATGTGTTTAAATATTGGTGGTCCTTAGGACCGCTTTCATGGGAGGATGAGAAAACTGGTTTTTTGTCCTTTGGAGTGTTTATTGTTATTTATTTGTCGGAGAGCTTTTTAAACAAAGGGCACCTCTTTTAGGTCCTTTTGTAGGTGCCAAGTAACTTTACTCTATATAATATTAGTTAATAGTTATAAAAATATAATTGTTAAGAAAATAAGCAATTATATTAATAAATATAAATTAATAAATTATTATTTACCTTAAGAGTTTCTTTTGTTTTGAAAAGACTTTCTAAATAATAAAAACAAGAATTCTATCAGATTGCATCTGTCTTAATAAGAGTTAAATATTTTTAATACAAATTGTTTTGTTGTTTATACAATTTTCTAATAAAATATGCATAATTAATATTTCAAAAATATGAAGTTATTCCTTAAATTGTAACACAGGCAAATTTGCCTGTGTTTTTATTAAAAAGTTTAATTTTTTTAATAAAAACTTA